ACGGTAATAATAATAATAATAATAATAATCAGTAATAATAATAATAATAATCATTAATAATAATAATAGTAATAATAATAACAATAACAACAATAACAATAGTAATATTAACAGTAATCATCATAATAATAATTCTACAATATTCAAAATAATAATGCACAATTTATAACAGTAGTGACTGTAGTGTGAATGGGTTGATCACCTTTATCAACTGGTACTAGACTACACTTCAGAGAAGAGAGGGGAACACACAAAAGAGATGAATCTGGTGCCTCCATTGATAGTGAATACAAAAATTTCTTCTCTTTTGGTAGACGTTCAAAGCAACCAACTTTCTTCACTCTACACTGCTGTAGTGCAGTAGATGAGTAGGTGACAATATCTCCAATGTGATGTAGTGATTTGATATTTTTACTCAATGCAAAGTCGGCTTTTTCCTTTGGATGTAACTCCTCCACATTGATCCCTGCAGTAACTTCACTCATACACTCCATCATCTGTTTCTTAGACCTAAGGACTTGTTGAGGACTGCATGTCTTCAGACTCTGTTCCACATAATCCTCAACATCCTCCAGAAGACTCAAACTTATTTCTACTGATTTCATTTGCTCTGACAGCACCTTTAATCTGCCATCAGTGACCCTCTTTGCCTGCTCAGTCAGTTTCCTCTCTGACTGACGAAGACCACTCATCATTTTCTCTACCATTTCATGTATTTCTTCTAAGACTCCTTCTCCTCTCTCTCTGATCTCACCCTCTCTCTCTGATAGAGCAGATAGGACCTTCTTGAGTGCTTTCTTCTTTCCCTCAACTGGTGATAGACATTCTCTTAAAATTTGATAGTGTTTAGTATAACTGTCAGTGATTAAGTTATATTCATGACGTTTGTGATTACGAACTGAGCAGCTAACACAGATTACTGTATTACATGTTTCACAGAATAGCTCCAAAGGCTTTCCATGATCACTACAAGTGGCCTCTTGAGGATATGGCAAAACTGTTGTCTTCTCCATCGCACTGTATATCTCTTTGAGGTTGTTGAGAGTGAATGCAACAGGAAAGGCTCTTGAACCTTCTTCTGGTAACTCTATACAATGAGGACAAGTGGGACAAGAGAGGTAATAGGTCTCATTCTTCTTATCCAGAGGTAATCCCTCCAGACAGTGCTCACAGAATGAATGTAGACAAGGTAAAGTCTTAGGGTTGGTATAGTGGTCAAGACACACAAGACAGGTGAGCTGTTCCTCCAGTTTCAGGAGACCAGTAGAAGATGAAGATCATTTGGCTGCCATTTCCAAAATAAAATAAAGTTGACTATGTAAATCAAAACAAAAATTGGAGACAGATAGTACAAGATGGTAAATGAAGATAGAGCAAGAATGAGCAATAAGAAAAGGAAGAAGTTGGGATGAAAGAGCAAAAGAATAAAACAAAGAGAGCCCCTGATGACCTTTTAAAGTGACTAAAGGAAGTTATAATAATAAATACAATGGGTGAGATATTTACAGTTTGACAGTGCTGTTAAAGTTAATAGTGTAGTAAGTGTAATGTAACTACTACTATAGTACATCACTTGAATTTGATGGAGTCTTATTTTGGCAGATGGTAATTTGCAAGCTGATTCAGTAACATTAAAACTGCCAATCATGATCAGCAATGCATGTATGCCAAGTAAAAACTGCAAATTAGAATTTTATAGAAAAATTGCATAACAAATTGTACCTGTACATGTACATGCATATCAGTGTCAACCAAGTGGGGTTGTACAAATTTCTTTGAGGAATAGCATGTCATCCCCTGATTTATTTATTAAATTAATATTCAACATTAATATTACATGCACACAATCATGCATGATATTTGAGTAATAAGGAATTAATGAAAATAAGAATAATAAATACAATCTAATAAATAATAAGTCGGCTATTGATAAAATCACAAACATACAGCGATCCATCTTTATCAAATGCTAATCCATAAGGAGTATCAAACTGATCAATATTACTTCCTTTACTTCCAAACTTTCTAACAAACCCACCATCACTAGTGAAGATTGATATACGATGATTGCCCTCTTCACTAACATACACTAGACCAGTAGCTGCAGTGTCTATTGTTATACCTCTTGGCTCTTTAAGCTGTCCAGAACCAAAGCTTTTATTGCCAAACTGACCGACAAACTTTCCATCTGGAGAGAACTTCTGAATGCGATGATTATCATTATCAGTAACATACACTAGCCCTTGACTGTCAATAGCAATGTCACGTGGACACAAAAACTGTCCATTAGCTGATCCTTGACTACCAAAGAAATGAGAGAAGGTTAGATCAGGATTCAAAACTTGTATACAATGATTACCCCTATCAGCAATATAAACCTGCCCTGTTATAGGAGAAATGGCTATACCAGCAGGATACTTCAATCGTAGTGGTCCACTGCCCTCCTCACCAACTGATGCCATAAGGTATCCATTCATGCTTATCTTTTGGATCCTGTGATTATCAGACACAAGAATAAATTTGTCTGGAGTGATAGCTACACCACGAGGAGAAAAAAACTTGACATTACCACTTCCTCCTTCCCCTCCTAATGATTTTAATTTCCTTCCTTCTCTATCCAGTATTGTTACACAGTTACCATTATTCTCAGTTATTACAAGATGATTATCATCAGTTACAGCAACTCCCCAGAGACGCTTAAGCCCAGTTATAATACGTGCTGGAATGATGCTATCAAGGTAAGGATTAAAAGGGATGACTAGTAAGGTATCCTCAAGGTGTACATCATATATTTGTACTTTTACTGTATGATTACCACTGGTGGAAGGCTTACACTGTATCTTATATATACCAGGATCAGTGCTGGTGGTAGTGACTGTAGTGTGAATGGGTTGATCACCTTTACCAACTGGTGCTAAACTACACCTCAAAGAAGAGAGGGGAACACACAAAAGAGATGAATCTGGTGCCTCCATTGATATTGAAAATGAAATTTTCTTCTTTCTGTGTAGACGTTCAAAGCAACCAATTTTCTTCACCCTACACTGATGTAGTGCAGTAGATGAGTAGGTCACAATATTTCCAATGTGATGTAGTGATTTGACATCTTTACTCAATACAAAGTCTGCTTTTTCCTTTGGGTGTAACTCCTCCTCATTGATCCCTGCAGTAACTTCACTCATACGCTCCATCAGCTGTTTCTTAGACTTCAGGACTTGTTGAGGGCTGCCTATCTTAAGACTCTGTTCTACATAATCCTCAACATCTTCTAGAAGACTCAAACCCATTTCTACTGATTTCATTTGATCTGACAGCACCTTTAGTTTATCATCAGTGACTCTCTTTGCCTGCTCAGTGAGTTTCCTCTCTGACTGACGAAGAACAATTATCATTTCCTCTACCATTTCATGTATTTCTTTTAAGACTCCTGCTCCTCTCTCTCTGATCTCACCCTCTCTCTCTGCTAGAGCAGACAGGACGTTCTTTAGTGCTTCCTTCTTTCCCTCAACTGGTGATAGATGTTCTCTTAACTTTTGACAGTGTTTAGTATAGCTGTCAGCAATTAAGTTATATTCATGATTTTTGTGATTACGAAATTGACAAGTAACACAGATTACTGCATTACATGTTTCACAGAATAGTTCCAAAGGCTTTCCATGATCACTACATGTGGCCTCTTGAAGATTATTAGGTAAAACTGCTGTCTTCTCTATTGCACTGTATATCTCTTTGAGGTTGTTGAGGTGGAATGCTACAGGAAAGGTTCCTGCTCCTTCTCCTGGTAACTCAGTACTATGACGACAAGTGGGACAAGAGAGGTAATAGGTCTCATTCTTCTTATTCAGAGGTAATCCCTCCAGACAGTGCTGACAGAATGAATGTAGACAAGGTAAAGTCTTAGGGTTGATATAGTGGTCAAGACACACAGGACAGATGAGCTGTTCCTCCAGATTAAAAAGACCAATAGAAGAAGATGAAGATCGTTTGGTTGCCATTTCAAGAAAAGAATAAAATTGTGTATGTAAAGCAAGAACAAAAAATGAAGAGAGATAAAGGTAGAAGATTGTAAATGAAGATAGAGCAAGAATAAACAATGAGAAAATAAAGCAGTTGGAATGAAAGAGCAGCAGAATGAAACAAAGACAGCCCTGATGACCTCTTAAAATATTCATTAGTTAAAGTGACTAAAGGAAGTTATGACAGTGTACAATAATAGTAAATAGTTGGATCTATACTATCTCATTTTTAGAATTTGACATTAAAAATAATCCCCAGTAGAAAGACCATGGCAACTTAAACATATGGGTTGTATAAACTTTTCCAATATGATGCATGTACATGTACGTGTACATTTGCTTAGCCTAAACATACATTATACATAAATGACGCTTTAGCAATACATGTATTTGTACATGTACATGCTACACTAAAAACTGATGCTCTCACTCAGAGGTACTCAGTCAAAGTAGCTTTCATCAACATACATGTAGCTCCCTTTATGGCCACACATCCCACCACCGATCACACTTCACTTACTTGAAAAGGTAGTGTATAGAATTGGTAACTCCCTCAACTGATTAATCCCAACCAGTTCATAATTAGCACAATCAGGGTAGCACACATGTACCCTCCCATTATTGGTCAAACCAGTCAGACCAGTTTCTACGGCATCATGAACCATCCTCCCAACATACATATACATTGTGTAATGCATACAGATGTTCAAAAATCACTGTTTAATTTTTCAGGAGGAGCTACATGTACATGTACAAAGAAAGAAATCACAAATAATAGTACAATAGTACTGTATCTTACTATGTACAGGTACAGTACATACAGATGACTACTGCCCAAAAAATCATAGTATACAATGTACATGTACATGTGTGTACGTACATGTACATGTATATGCATTTTAAAGTATCCATTAATTCCATTAATCTCTTTAAAAAGTTATTATTATTATTATTATTATTATTATTACTATTATTATCATTATTTACCATGCTTATTTTCATTAAAGTGTTTATAATGAGTCCTCAAGTCACTGTAATATGCTTTAGTGGTTGATGGTGAATTGTGTTGTACATAAAAGTGAAGCAATGACTTTATTGAAGCTACCAATGCATACGCATACACATGTATGCCTTCTTCTGATGACAAAGGCAACTCTACAGTAGCTATTATGAAGAGAGAGAGAGGGAACAAAAAGAGAATAAAAATAGAGATACATGCACATGTTTACATATACATACATATGTAGTTAATATACTTATTTTTAGAAAAATGAATATTGACATGTATATTATGAATTACAAGGCAGTGAAGGATAATCTGTTTCTTCCTCTTCTTCCTCCTCCTTCTTTTGTTCAATTTCTGCCTCCATGAAAATGACAGAATTGCCTTCAATTAAACTACAAGAATTAATAATAATAAAATTTCTCTATACGTACACATACATGGATGATGCATATCACATTAGTAGTTCTAATACACAGCAGAATATAATACAAATATCATTGTTATTCCTGTGAAAATTTCAATTACCAATTAGGTCCCACAAAAGGAAGCTGTAACATTTCATCCAGTATATCTGAAGGGTTTTCCTTAAAAGCTTCAGAGTATTTCTTCACTAATACCTTACCCCAATGGGGCTTATCCTTTATAGCTCCCCTAATAACCACTCGGAAAGAGAACTGGAAGGATCTATGGAAGCAATTACAATCACGATATTCACATAATAATCACATGATAGTCACATGATATTTACACAATAGGCACATGATATTCACACAATAGGCACATGATTGTCACATGATATTCACATGATAGTCACATGATAGTCATGTAATGGGTTGAAGGCTTACCTGCAGCTGGCTTTGAAGGTCTGCTGTTAGCCACAGGAGACTAAAGAGAGAGAGAAAGAAAAAGATATAAATGTAAACACTGTATATGTACATGTACATATACATGTAGATTGTAAGTTTCTCTTTACTTACATTGTACAGTGTACTTTATCTCTTGAATTAGGATATGCTCTCATTCCACCAGCTGATTGTGAATGGACTATCTCCCTAGCACCACCTGAAACTGAGTGAAGGAGAAAAAGGAAAGGGAAGAGAAAAGGTAATTCACATGTAATTCACATCTTAAGTTTGAGCTGGTTCCGATTAAAATTATATTTTTAAAGAATTTTTGAAGTTACTCCAAAATTGGACCATGGCCAAATTTTGCCAAAAATAAAAGGAGAGAATTATCCATTATTATAATTTTCCTTCATGCATATATATGTTCTTATGTTGTGTGGAATGCTTGAGCTGATTCGAATCAAAATTAGATTTTTTAAAAATTTTAAAGCTGCTCTAAAATCAGGCCAGGGGCATTGAAATTCACCAAAAAAGAAAAGAAGACAATTCTCCATTTTTATAATTTTTCTTGAAACATATACATGTTCTTATGTTGTGTAGAAAGTTTGAGCTAATTTCAATCAAAATTGAATTATTCATGAATTTTTTATGTTGCTCAAAAAGCCATAATGCTACATGTACATGTATGTATAGTATAGTGTTTATCAGTTCATGAATCATGTTTTTAACGGAACCTTGTACACATACATGTACATGTACATGTAACTAATTATATCAATACTCGGTAGCATTATATTTTCAACAATTACCTGTTACTCTAAGGGACGGGGTCACAGAAAGGTTTTCAGAAGGTGTCACATCAAACCTCTAATAGTAAAAAGCTCTTAATTAATGAAATGACATGTTTTGGGAGTGTTCCAAAACTTGTAATCAACAACAACCCATAGTTTAACCCTCACACCCCCTTCAGATGGGAGGGATGGAGCCCCCGGGGTCAGGACTCAGGATACGCCTAAAATAATTACAAAAAGGAGAATATTAATTTAATTAAATAAATTAAAATTAATTTTACATGTACATGTATGTGTAAAAAATACATAGGAGGAAATTGGAAAGAAATAAACTTAGCAGTACGTACGTTTCAAAAGGAAATCAACAACATTAATCTGTTTGTTTTAGTCAATTATTATTGTGACTATCTCTCGTTAAAACACAAATGAATATTTGACTGAGGCTACACCCACACGACACGCCAATTAATTAACAACTCACAGACACATTCCAATGTTACCTAGTGAAGAAATATTGATACTTGGAAATTTGAGTTTCTTCTTTTTTATTGTGAAATAAAAGAACGTGAAACTAATCTCATGCAGTACTGCATAATCTCCGTATGATGCCCAGCGTAACATTCTACGGCAACCCAATGAGAATTATTATAAGAAAATAATTTCATGAATGCAAAATTGTACTGGGCAATCTAAAATTTTTAGAAAAAAAATAGAATTTCATTATGAAACTCACCTTTTGATGCAATCAATTGAGGGATGGTGAGGAATATAGGGTGGGATGCGATTCCGGGATAAAAAGGAAAATTCCTATTACATAATAAGGCCGTTATCATCATAGCAATGCCATATATGGTAACATATCTAAAGTTGACTTTTCATGTGCAGAAAAACCTTTTAAAAATAAGTTAATTAAGTGTGTGGGTGGGGTATGTTCATACTTTGACTTGGTCAAGTTTTGCTACTTAAGGATGATGCTCTGCCCTATTAATATTAATTTAATTAGAAGCATTAATACATGCATTAACATAATGTTAAAAAATCACCAAATTAAAAAAATCAAAAACTTCACTTAATTTACTTTAAATTTTACTCTTCCAAATATACCCATTATTATGAAAAATAAAAAAAATAATAATAATTATGTCATACTTTGATGCTGAAGGCTAAATCTTGAATTTGGCAATGACTGAGATTCTATACTAAGAGAAGGAAGTAGAGGAGGAGGAGAAGGGGAAAGGAGAGGAGGAGAAGGGAGACAAGAAACAATAAGAGGAAGAGAAAGTATGGGGGGAAAAGAAAAACATGTGGGGAAGAGAGAAAGAGGAGGAGTCGAGAGAGGGAGGAGAAACAGAGAGGGAAGGAGAGCAGGTCCCGGTAAACTTTAATAAAAGGACACACACTTCCGATACAATTATATATTTACATCGGCTGCCCATAAAGTGGTCTTTTAACTAACCAATTCGCCCGTCTACTAGGCCCCACCAATTTCTAAATACCGAGAGGCAATAGGCGGTGGCCGGGCCATGCTCACCTTGTGTAATTTCAAAACACTCTGCTTTTTCTGACGAGCAACCAAACTGGAAACATGCTGGGTTTCTTGATTAGCCACTACATAATAAGTAAGTTCACTTGTAGGACCTATACTGGATTTGAAGACGTCTGGGTGGTCACTGGTGGATTCATCCATATTTGAATATCCCATCTGTCGTAATGAAGGTTCGGATCATACTCTTGTAGTCTTTAGCAAAAGCTCTTCTTAGGACACCCAGGGGGGCAGAGAGAAGTATGGAGCGCGTGTCGACTTTGAATCACCCCAAAAGTTTTTGCTTTTGGAAGAAATAAGTGGGCGGGGCTATCTTAATCTGGCCCACGTGAGAGCACGTGGGAAGTCACACGTGCCAACACGTGGGTAGTTTGTAGTAGGTGTGGTTTTGTGTATTAAATCGAAAGTGGCTTCCAATCGAGGATGAACTGCAACTACGAAAAAGTCAAAAACACTATCACCATCCAATTACAGACAAGCCCTCTGCTTAATCCTACATTTGAATTTAAATTTAGCAAGATGGCAAGGGTTACCTTAAGCCTACTATTATTTGCGTCTACTAATTTAGCGAAATCAGCAAAAGTCATGTTTAGCGTTACTAATTTTAGCGTTTTAAACCAAATTAACTATAAATAATAACCAGTATAATGAATAATAATTATTTTGGCGTCTATTTAATTTAGCGTTTAAAGCTCTCTCGCAAACATAGCTAATTAAGGCCATTAACCACGTGGTAAACCCGCTTTGTTTGGGGTTTTGAGCATGCGCAATGAAAGTTTTTGGGAGGAGCGGGTTTTAATGCACGTGTTTGCATGAGGTTGAGCTTGAGTAATGAGTATGGCTACATCATCACCACCGTTTAAAAGAAAGCGAGTCAGTGGAGTGAACTATGGGTGAGACTCACCCTTTAAAGCTAATAGTTGTGATGTTTTTATTACTTAGTGCTACATATGGAATCGACAGAAGGAAGAGTTTTCCTAGAGACGAAAATGGCTTAGAGCTCCTAGAATTTTACTTCCCATCATCACAAGAGGAAGATGACACAAGTAAGGTTACAAATGAGAATCATAGGCGGCGGCAGGGTTGGGCATGGACGGGCAATGCCCGACCAAAAATTTTGACCGGAAAGAAAAATTTAATTAATGACATCATTTTTAGTCATGAATAATTACCATGGCTAGCAAGAGACAGTCTTTTCTGCTTTCCTTTGTCAACAAGCCTTCCAGGAGGACCAGGACTAACACTTTACAGCTGTGATAGAGCTTTACAGATAAGATAGGGGCCTTTAAGCATATTTTTATAGTATGTGGTATTGTATGATTGCATTGAGTATACACCCAAAATATGCGGGGGAAAAGTGGGTGTGATCGAAATTGTGGCGCACTCCACGCGCCATTTTTTCCCCGATACCGCTCCCTATCCTGCTGCGCCTATGATGAGAATATGATTGCTATTAAGGGAAAGGTCTTGTCCATGGCTAGCTTAAAGTTGTATACCTAGGTGGAGTTCGACTCACATTGATACCATACTAACGGGTTATTGGCTTTTACTTTTTAATCATAGGCTGGGCTTATGCCAGAAAAGGCAGAACCAAGCGATTAATGAAACAAGTGTGTATTTGCCTGATGAAAGCTCAAGCGTTTATTACTTAACAGGGAAACAAAATTGTGTGAAAAGGAAGTGCCAAAGTTAAGGATTGAACCATGTAACTTGTAAAATATGTGTATCTCTAGTTAGTTAGGGATGGGAGTTTATTTGAGCTGGGCTTCTAATCAGGCAAATACAGTACATTTATCGTACCTTACATATATTCATGTACATGTAAAGATGATAATGGGTGAAAAATTATTCAATTCAATGGTTTATAGTTACTGATTCAAGTTGCTGCTCTACCAGCACTGCTACAAGGAATTCCAACACTTTGTCAAGGTAAATTGAATTAAGATACATGTTAAATAATGTGTAATGAGATTTCTTTTGGGATATTTTGGTGAAATTTACTAATTGGTACATGTACATGTAGGTTAGTTTGCGCTTTCATTGTCTTTTTATGTGGCAGTTGAAAATTGCCAAGCACCAATCGCCAAATTTAACTTCTTGCAAATTACTGCCACTATACAATAGCACTGGCAGATCCAGAAAAATTGAAAGGGAGATTCCGTTTCGCTTAAGTAGGTGTGGCTCATTAATTTTAATTAATAAAATGGAGGAAAATTGCTGCCAATTAGAACAACTTTTATTCCCAAAGGGGGGTTCCATGAAACCCATGGATCTCCCCTAGATCTGCCACTGAGTAGTGCTAAGTGTATGCATACTGTATGGTAGACATTGAATTATATATAGGGCTGTGAATATTATAATAATGTTTTAAAATTGTTTTAGGCATACTTTTGCTGATTCTCCTCCTTCTCCACAACCTCCTACCACTGGTACTGGCCCCTTTACTAGGACTGGTACAAGAGAGGCTAGCTGTTTGAGGTAAATTAAGTAACAAAATAAGAGTGAATTTACATGTACTGTAGTAACTTACTCATAAAACTACTCATATAACGATATTTTAAAATTATTTTAGCCATACTTTTAATGATCCTCCTTCTCCTCTACCTCCTGCTGCTGGTACTAGCCCCTCTATTACTAGGACTGGTACAAGAACTGCTAATAGTTCGAGGTAAATTAAGTAACAAAATTTTAAGCAACAAAATAATAATTTGGTGAAATCAGAAGCGTCAACTGTCACTTGTACAATCTGCATGTGTACATGCCATCATTACTGATGTAGTGGGATTTGCTGGTGGGCAGATATTTTTAATGAACTCTGTTAAAATTGGTAGATTTGTGGTATAATTTCTTGCCAATTCATTGTCACTTGGTAGCTATAATAATTTGTAATTTGCAAGTTCAACTGCTTAATTTTTGCTGAAATTTTCAACTTTCTTACATTAATTCTTCAGCAATGAATACTATGCCCTGCCCTAGTGGGGCAATTTGTGGTTTTAATTTTTGCAGTTGACAGTGTAAAGGGGTAGCATTTCAATGATTTTATGGGTTTAAAAACTTTAAATTTTGTGATCTGTCCCGAAACTACTAAAACAAAGTGCCACTTAATCTTGCTATACAGTAGTCTAGTATGACATGTACATGTTGTAGCCATAGTAGGACAATCAGTACAGTCAGAAATTACGTATTCAGAGCTTTAAATAATTATATGAAAATATATGTATTTTATAATTTTTAGGCATGATACAACTACTCCTTCTACTAGAGCTAAAGCCTCTGCAAGGACAATTTTTTCCCATTCAAAGTAATTGAGTGAAAAGAGAGAATACGTTAAAACTAAGAGAGGATTAAAATTTAGGTTATTTGGTTTGTTGTCTTGAGTGCTTTAATTCATTTCACTTATGATTAATGTTTTAATATGCATACATGTACATGTATTGTAGGCCTCCTACTACATCAAGATCAACCAGAAAAAACTCTCCTCTTATCACTGATAGTGAAGCTTCTCCTTCCAAAGATACTACTGCTCCTGTTGAACCATTGGCTAATGCCTCTCCAGGCTCTCCTCTGGAAACTGCTAAAAAGACAAAGAAGAAACGCAAGAAAATAAATTGTTCACCACCACAACGACGTCAACCAGTCAAGCGAAGTATGTTAGTTACATTCCCCCTTATCTAAAGAAACTCAATACCGTATATCGGGTATATTTCAATGCATGAAAAGTGGTGTAAATATAAAGTTCAATGATAGAAAAATTTGGAAGTCCTTTATATTCCAAAAATATTTACTTGCTATTATTTTCATCAACCACCTGGCCTGGTAAGTAAATCGAAGCATTTTGCTGACTTCTCCACTTCTGAATCAACCTTAGCAACACTTCCAACTGGCAAAGAAGGCTCTTCATGGCCTTCGAGTTAGAAGCCATTGATAGTTTGAAGCCACTTGTTCATAATAATTTCACAATACCGCATATCTTCTATTCCTTTTTATCCGCATATTTTAAAATTTTATAATATTTATTTTCGCAATGGATTGCTTCTTCAGAAATTGTTAATGCATTAAAATATACCCGATATACGGTATTCACTTTTGATAAGAATCAGCTTAAACTTATATACATATAACATAGATGTATATGTACATGTACATGTGTCTCTATCCTTAAATTGAAGAAGAAATTTTTGGCGATCATTATTTTTAGTTGAGCCATAGGTGGCGGCAGGGTCGGGCATGGACGGGCAATGCCCGACCAAAAATTTTGACCGGAAATGAAATTTTAATTAATGACATCATTGGGTGAAGCCCACTAAGATGAGTAGAGTTTGTTTGTTTGTCTGTACACGTACGTATTTCGTATGTCCTCTATATAGTCGCACATGCCTAGCAGTGCAATAGATTCTAAATTTCAATATTTCATTGAAAGTGGGAGTGGCCGAAAGATAATAAAATGGCAATCAGCACACGGGAATCAGAAGTCATGATTTTCCTACTTCCTAGCAACAAGATAAGGCAAAAACCCTGTCCAAAGACTTCTCCAACTGCTTGAAAAGGTTACAGGTGCAGTTAAGTAACTATGAAACTTCTTTTTGTTGAGAAAATCAAACAAATGTCACATTTGTCACTGACTGCACTAAACTGGCCAGCCTTTTTATATCTTATGGCTATTTTAAAGTCAGTGTAGCAAGGCTTAAAGTAAAAAACAAGTCAGGAGTTTTCTAGCAGCACCATAAAGTTGAGATTCTGCTTTACCCCAGCTAATAATCTACGAGGCTGAGCCCTTCAATGTTTTACATTGTTTCTAGTTTTTAGTCATGAATAATTACCATGGCTAGCAAAAGACAGTCTTTTCTGCTTTCCTTTGTCAACAAGCCTTCCAGGACTACCAGGACTAGCACTTTACAGCTTGGATAGAGCTTTACAGATAAGATAGGGGGCCTTTTAGGCGCATTTTATGCTATATCATATTGTATGCGTGCTTTGAGTATACGCCCAAAATAGGTGCAAAAAAAGTGGGTGTGGTCAAAATCGCAGCGCGCTTCGCGTGCCATTTTTTGCCCGACCGCTCTTCCAATCCTGCCACCGCCTATGAGTTGAGCGTTCCTTATTATTATTTATTGTACCTCTACTGTTGTGTCTGCCACCTCTGTTGTACTTGGCTTTTATAAAAAATTAATTTTTGTCATGACCTACTCAAAGTTTCTAGTACATGTACATGTATATGTCTTAGAAAAATTATTAAAATGGAGAATTTTCTCCTTTTCATTTTTGGTGAACTTTGGCAAAAGACTCATGTACATGGCCTTTGACTTGATTTTTTAACAACTTTAAAATTTGAAGAACTCAATTTCGACTGGTATTTATTCAACTTTCTATGTGCAAAACATAAGAGCATGTAACATGTACTATATATGTATCAGAAAAAAATTACTGAAATGGAGAATTTTTCCTTTTTATTTTTGATGAAATTTTGCCAAAGACTGTGTACTACTAAATGATCTTTGATATTACACCATCTTTGGCCTGATTTTTTAGCTACTTTAAAAATTTGATTTTGATTGGAATCTATGGGAAACGTTGTATTAGCACTTTGATTTGCCTAAATCGGCATTACATGTAGATCAAAAAATGTTATAAAGACTAAAGAGAATTCTCTTGGAGCCATTTTTGATAAAATACATACCATACATGTACATTGGTGGGGATAATTATATTTTGGCAATTTTAGTGTTCTGATTGCTATTCAAGCAATTTTAAATGGCATTACAGTACATGTTTTCAACATTTTACATTTAATCTTTGTCTAAGTGTCATTAATTATTGCTAATTTATTTAAATCTATTTTCTCCTTATTGCTTCACTTTAGCTATCACTGAGATTCAGCGGAAGACTAATGTCACTCCTGGAGTAAGGAGGTCTAAGAGACCCCATATTGGCAGAGTACCATTTGGAGGGTATGTAGAGTATGAGGAACACTGGGGGAACACACCCAGCAAAGCTTACGGTAATATCTTAATAGAGGATACTATGCATGTATAATATTAGTCCATGTACATGTATATTAATGATCTTCTGTTGGCATTGTTAATGTAGTTACTATGATGCATCTACATGTACATTTAGTCATGTTCATGTACATGTACATTACTTTATTAAGCAATAAATTTATTCTTATTTGTTTGGAAGCCTAATTTTGTCATTATACATGTACATGTATTTTAGATGTACTGGTGTTAGTGTCTGACTGTCTGTGTAGTGTATACACTAGTTTACTTTTTCATTTTAGGTCGTGAAGCATTGTCTATCGTAAACCCATTGCCCATTCCTTCTCCTAGATCTAGAAATGCTACTAATAAGAGAACAAGAGATGAGGTACACATATGCATGTACATGTATACATGTATTTTACATTATCATTTCATTTTTATGCATGCATGTACAAGTACATCTACTTAATATGTAATCTGTTTCAAATTTTGTAATACATGTTATGAACTTATGATACATATATACACATGCAGATCAGTGCTCTCTGTCTCTCTCTCCCTCCCTCTCTCTCTCTACATGTATCTCCCTCTCTCTGTCTCTCTCTGTCTCTCTCTGTCTCTGTCTCTCTCTCTCTCTCTCTCTCTCTCTCTCTCTCTCTCTCTCTCTGTAAATTTATTTTAGGAGGAGTGTTATCTATCTATTGTCTCTCCTGATGATTCTGAGAACGTTGAAAGATGTCGTTTCTGTACGTACATGTACATATGGCTGCCAAATAAGTGTATATGTACTTGCTCATGTACATTACCATGCAATGTTATATGGCACATACAATGTATAGAGCTGTAAATCAAACTTTAAAGCATCATTTGTATCAGAAAATGTAATAATCATTAGGACCCTTTAGACTGATTTTAGGGAATTACATGTACATGTACAGTATGCTAGTCTATGTATTTCTTCCAATGCCTTTACTATTAATATGTGATCTGTATTGTAGTGTTTCCACTGTCACACGGGCAACTGTGTAATGCAGACGGAATGGATGTACAACCTGGAGATGATTTAATCATTAATAGATTGATTACAAAAGACGACTATCAAATAGGTGAAATGGATTTTAAAAAGGGCGCGGAGAAACCTATGGCACAGAATGAGAACTGTGAAATGGTATGAGTCTATATACACTAATGTATACCGTATAGCGGGTATATTTCATCTGGAAAAATGTTCGTTCTAAGCAGGATTAGAAATTTTTGGTCGTTTTATTTTCGTTCTGAGCAGTCATTTTGCACACGTGGCATTGAGGAAACGCCCTTTTTGTTTGGAAAATATTCGTTCCACAAGGAATGAGAACGAAAAGAACGAAATTAAACTCGAATGGAATATACCTGCTATACAGTACATGCACATATACATGTACATGTACATGCAATAGCATAAATAAGAAGACTACAAGTAAAACTTAAGTACATGTACATGTAGACTGTACAAAGTTATGCTTACAAACTTTAGGCTTTTCCTATCATTAAAGCTAGCTTCAGTTTTGGTATTATGAGGAGAGTGAATGGTTATTATAGGACATAGTCTACTGATATTAATTTTGGAAATTTTAGCATTTGAGTGTTTTTATCATATAAATTATATAATACTACCCTTTTTAGATATTTCGAGTTCTAAAAGGAAAAATTTTAGTGGTATTTGAAGATGGAGAAGTGGAAATGTGTACTAATGAGTATATTCGTATTCCTCCTGGTAAATAATGATAAGTTTTTTACATGCTTTATTTTGTATATTCCTTATTACTAGGTGCTGTTTATCAGCTAAATAATATTGCAAGGTCTAATACAGTGTTAAATTATACTTTTGTAATGAAACTATAATTTATATAATTCTATTTTTATGACTGTAGAAATGCTGTGATTTTTAATTCTCTAAGAATTATTAACTATTTCATGATTTTAATCAAATTGCCAGTTAAATCAAATAGTTACTGATATTATTGTTTTATATTTTTATGTACTAGATTATTTTAAAGTAGATTTTATCAGTATCAAGAATCCATCATTGCTAATGATCCTTTCTTATGTCTCTACAATACATAGATAATGTGAATAATCTATCAGAGAAAAAGCAGCAAAAATTTTAGTTTATGCTTTACAATAAAACCACCTTTAAATTAATTTTGTTGATTGCTTACAAATTTTAACATCATGCATAATATTACATGTGTTTTTGTAAAATAAACCGTCAAAAGAGCAACAGTAGATTTATATAAAATAGTATCAATTCAGCCTTGTATATACATGCATAACTCTGGCGTTGTACGTTTATTTAGTCTTGGCTATGTTCCTTCGCACACATCCTGGTCTAGCCTGTACTTTTTCTTCAGTTTCAAAATAGTGTTGCTTGACATAGACTCTATATACCTGTTGTGCGGTCAATTCTTAAGATGGTTTCAGTCCTAGTATTGATTGTCTTCTTGTGGAGTTTCAGTGAAGTTATTAGTCAATGTCCACCTTCCTCAGGTAAGACAATGATGTGTATAATAACAACTGTATGAGTTTGTATAGGCATCTACCTGATGCATAATGGAAACTGTTATCCCAATGGGTCATATTTTTGGGATACTAGTATCAGACCAACTCCTCTAGAGTGTGTATTGGATGTACCTAATGATACTCTTATTGATGGACAATGGATCGGTCCAAATGGAACAGTTCCTTGTCCTGGCAACAATTCAAATCTTATTTGTACTGTTGGTTCAGCAGGTGCTAATCTCAGTGTTCACATACCTACCACTTACCAAGTATTTCTTGATGGATCTGGTGATGGCTGGTATAAGTGTTGCCTACCAACTAACTGTTCCGATCCTAACACTAACATTATTACTGCTAATATATTCAGTAAGAGAAGACCATAATAATCCCTTATTTACTAATGTAATAATGTTTATTTTAGAATTTGCACAGATACTCTCATTTACTGTTACTGGTCTTTCTTCTGATATGACAGTGTATCCTCAGGAATACAGACTGAATTGTACTAAAATTGGATATGGTTCCTATGGCATTAGTATGAGGATTGGTAATACTACACTAGCTAGTTACACTAATTGTATTGATGAACTTATTTGTTCCCCTTGTCCTGGTTCTGTGTTAGTTAGTAGTACTAACACAGTAAGATATACTGTTACTATCACATGGGATGGAATGACTGTCACTAGTGGATCAAACAGTCAATCAACTGCTGGAGATCAAACATACCAGTGTGTACTGGATAATCCTATGGGTGGCAGTGATCGAACACGTATTTTAGCCATAAAAGGTAATGTCTATGAAATTCAGAGCGAAGTACACATGTATTTTGTAAATATATATGTGTTTCTTATAGTACCAGCAACTGCTCCCTCTTCTCTTACTGAAGTCAACAAGACAGCTACCACTATCACTGTCAGTTGGACTGCACTTGATTCATCTAATGCTGATGGATATGTAGTCAATGTCACTAGTGACACAGACACGGTGCAGACAGAACAGGTGGAGGGAACTAGTAATAATACAATCACACTGAATGGACTGAGAGAACTAACAACTTATAGGATCACAGTCAGAGCATATCAGCAATTACTGGGACCTGCTAGTACAATCAGTGTACAGACCTTGCCAGGTATAAATTGGTACTGCACCTTTTTATGTATTTTTAACATTTTGATGTATTTCTAGTTATTAAATCAATTAATTCGACTCTAGTATCATCTATTACACAACTCAATAGCACTCAATATCGTATTGATTGTCTAACAACTACTGATATATATCTTTCAACTGATGTTTACTGGTTAGTGAATGGAGTGATGAAGAATAACTCAATGTATTCATCAATTGATGTCCTGACATGCAACAACACACTACTGGTATATCCTGATCCACTGGGAGTGTCAGTTAATGTTACCTGTATAGCAATGATTGGAGGAGTCAGCTACAGTCAATGTGTGATATTACATTGTATGATATATTAACATAGTATATAAAAACTTTTGTCTTTTTTCTAGCTCCTAGTGGTCCTCTAAATAATGTGAGAGGGTCTATATTAAATGCTACAAGCATCATATTGAGCTGGACTGCTCCATCAGAGACTAATGGATTTGTGATTGAGTATACTGGAGGTGTAACCAGGGATGTAGTATTTACTAGTAAAGATGAAATTGTACTAACAGATCTCTCATCAAAGAGTACATATACCATCAGTGTGTACTCGTATATAGATCTTCCTTCAGTTAATAGTACAGTAACAGTGTTAAGATTTAATGGTGAGTTATTATCATTGAGCTAGAGAGTGTAATTGGTATCTTTTCTAGTTCCTAGTCCAGTAACAAGTCTCTCAGTATCTAATGTCTCAACCACTGGTATTACAGTAAACTGGACTATTCCCAGTAGTGAAAACTATGTAACATATTACACCATCTCCTATACTCTATCTTGTCCCCAGTTATCATCAGTGAATGAGACAGTCTCTGTTGCTCCTCATCAGTCCACTACAGCATACAGTTATACATTAATAAGTCTGTACAGTGGTATGAACTATACCATCACAGTGAGAGCTGGTAATGTATTGGGAGGTTCTGAATTAAGTACGATCAATATACAAACTGAAGCAATAAGTATGTATGCATTATAGTATCATTTTTATTACCATTTTCAGTTCCTAGTGGTTGGCCATCATCAATTCAAGTCTTACAACTTAATTCTGCAGCTAATAATCTCACTTGGAATGAGGTTAATTGTTCTCAGCGTAATGGTCTAATCACAGGCTATACAGTGATGATCAGTAACAGTAGTATCACATACAACCTCACCAGTACTGAAAGAAATATCATATTGAATGATCTAGTATTTAGTACTGAGTATAACATCAGCGTAGCTGCTGTCAATTCTGTTGGAAGAGGTCCCTTCAGTGATCCTATTTCAGTTGGGATTGGAATAGGTATGTAATTATATTGTACTTTATCTGATGATTGAAAATATCTTTATTTTTAGTACCTGGCCCAGTTGGTTCAGTATCCAGTACCATAGACACTACATGGGCTGTTATCTCATGGAGTATACCTAGTTACATTCCACAAGACTATCCCATTATCACATATGAGGTAGGATACTATGTCATACAGTCTCGCAGCTGTTCAATGGTAGATAATGACATCGATACTCAAATGCTACAGCTTTTCAATTCAACCAATAGCAATAGATTTATCATAGTCACTGATCTCAATGATACAACTTGTTACATTTTTGGTGTACGTGCCTATACTGATAATGGATATGGAAAATGGACAGCTATTGTTAATAGGACCCTAAAACTACCACAACCATCACCTTGCTTCCCTTCAAAAAGCAATGCATCTAACACTAGTGATTCATTCATCACTGCTAATAGTGATACATTCAATACAGTTATTGCTCTAGGTGTGTTAGTAGGTGTATTGTGTATTCTACTAACTGCCAGTGTTATTATTCATATCAATGGCTTTATAAGGTATAGTTTACAATAATGAGTGTTGATTTTATTGTTTTGCCTTTAGAAAGAAAAATTTATATGCTACTAGTGACCAGCAAACAAAGTTAGCTTATTATCTTATGACTTGCCACTTACCAAATAATTATAATAATAGAAGTGATGATGCTATTGCAATGCAAACTTGTGAACCATACGAAATTCACAAAAAAAGATTAAATGAAGAAAATGAAGAAGCATATGCAGAATGTCAAACATCACCTGATGATATTTATGAACCTATGCCACAATACTGAAATGTTCTTCAAAAACTGTTAAAATGTTTCCTCTAGTTTTAGTGTAGATTGTTAAAGAAAAATGCTATAAAATTAGTGAAAAAAATAAGATTTTGCAAGTGCATTAATAGTCACTGTCAAGTGTTGTAGGTGTAGGTTTTATGTTAGCAAATTACATATGCTCCTATTGAATTCATTTCTGCCTTAAAAGGAAGTGTTAGATGATCAAGATTCTGTCTCATAGTTATAAGATTCTCATCATGCTGTAATGACCTTTAATCAATTAAATGAATCATCAGTAGTACTAATGAACAATTTTGACAAACAATTGCACGATTGCATTTTGTTCCTGCAGCTTGCTTTCACCCACGTGTGATGTTCGTATATGTACATTTTTACTGCTCTAGCTAATGTTTGGGTAAACAATAATAGTTACGATACAGAAACACTTCAGCACATCTAATGAAACAGGCAAAAATTGATCCTTTTGTAGCATAGCAGGAGCTGAAGAGGTAAAGATATAGATTATAAAAGTTAGAAGAGGCTCATGCAGCCATGCAGTGGCCAAAGTAGTATCATATCATATGCTTAAACTGAAAGTATGTGTATACAAGAACAAGCTGGCACAAAGGTTTGCAGTCATAGCCATTGCTATATATGGCAATTAGTTTATGAGAACATCAATAAATTAAATGAAGAGTGAAATTACTAGTAACATGGGTCACTTTGACCACTCTGGTATGAAGCTATAAGGGTTTACATGCTGACGCTTAGAAACTACAGTCATTTGCACTTTTGTAATGGTATATTGAGATATACCATAGCTCTATGATTCAGTAACTGTTGATCGATAGGTGGCAGTAACTATTAAGTAACTTGGCAAATTGTTAAGCATGGGTAACATATTTGTCTTGGTAACCTGGGAACTCAGTAACTGGTAAATCGGTAACTTAGTACCTTGGTCACTTGGAAACTTGGTAACTTAATAACTGGGTACTTCAGTAAATGGGTAACTAGGTAGCTCGGTAAGTGCATATAACTTAGATACTGGGTAACTTGGTAACATGGTAATTGGTCTTGAAACCATATTTCTAAGCCTGAAAAAACTATTCTCATGTTCCAAGTCAGCTTGTCCAATATGTGGTAGGTTCACATTTGAGGAGGATGGATTCCTGAAAGGAAAGGCACTCTTCGAGGCTGCTGATTTTGGTAATACATCTAAAAGTGGTTGGTAACACATCAACACCTACAGAATTGCAATTAAGAATGTCCAGATCAAGAGTAGCCAATTGGCTTCTTTCCTCCTTGGTATCAAGTGACCATTGCCTTTTACCTTCCAAGTTCTTGCCTCCAAATGCAATCATAAAAAAACAATGTTAATTGTTAGCAGTATAGCATTACAGGCTTATATCTTAAGTTATTAGTCAAGAATAAAGATATTTTTTGATAATAATTAACATGCTATTATTATTTTTTGTGTATAAAATTAAAGCTAGAAAAGGCTATTGCAATAATTATGAAGAACACACCTGCAGTGTGTGAATTTTAGTGCATTGCTATCGTAGACATAGCACACAATAGTTACTTTAACATGATTAATTGGAAATTATTAATTGCAGCCCATCACTTAAAAACATTCTTGAAAATTTTGTAGCTCAACATCAAAAGAACTAAACCTTGCATTGAAGTGAATCAAAAGTTTAACAAATAAATTTGGAAGAATGTGATGACATGCTTGAACCAAAAGTATGTGCAAGAACAAGCTGGCTAAAGGTTTGCAGTCATTGCCATTTATTAATTTGGATGACAACTACTTTCAAAATGGGTACTGTACATGCATGCTGCACTCATAGCTTAAACCGAAAGTGTGTAAAGAACAAAATGCATGGCTAATGGTTTGCAGTCATTGCCAATGCTTTATTAATTTGGATGACAACCACTTTCAACTTGGGTACTGTATATACATGCATGTTATACTCATAGCTTAAACTGAAAGTGTGTAAGAACAACCTGCATGGCTAAAGGTTTGCAGTCATTGCCAATGCTTTATTAATTTGGATGACAACCACTTTCAACTTGGGTACTGTACATGCATGTTGTACTCATAGCTTAAACTGAAAGTGTGTAAAAACAACCTGCATGGCTAAAGATTTGCAGTCATTGCTAATGCTTTTTCAATTTGGATGACAACCACTTTTAACTTGGATACTGTACATGCATGTTGTACTCATAGCTTAAACTGAAAGTGTGTAAAGAACAATCTGGCTAAAGGTTTGCAGTCATTGCCAATGCTCTAGTAATTTGGATGACAGCCACTTTCACTTGGTTGGGTACATGCATGCCACACTCATAGTATATTCCTACTCATGATTACCACAAACGATCAGTTACTATAAAAAGAAATGCTTTTCAATGTGAGAGACACAGAGAAGAAGTCAATCATGAAGCTCATCTTTCTGACTGCAAGTCTATTTTTTGTCATTACAATGACTAAGGGCTCAAAGCTTGAAGGCTTTGAAGACTTTGAAGAGAGGAACGACATTGATCAAAGTGAGGTCGATGACTCTTTGTCTCAAGAAGCTGCTGCAGGTCTCAATGCACAAACAAGCAGTCAACCAGGTATGGGCCTGTAACACTTATTTTGTTTTATATTACTTCTTCATCAATTGTAGTGACTCAGATTTTTCATCTGTGGACTGATGGACCCAGAAATTTGAAAATTCAAAAAATAAATGTGGGGACACTCACCTCTGAGGGTGATGTACTTGAGTCCATTGCACTTGGAAGTGGTTCCATTTCTAAAACTGGTGCATATCTGGCTTATCGACCAGAGTTCAAAGGTTATCACAGTACTGGTCTTGGGGCCATATTCCTAAACCTCGAGAAACTATTCCCATGTGCAAAAAAAGCTCGTCCAATATGTGGTAGGTTCACATTTGAAGAGGATGGATTCCTAAAAGGAAAGGCACTCCTCCAGGCTGCTGATTCTGGTGCAGACCTAAAAGTGTTTGGAAACAACATAAACACCTATGGGATTGCAATTCAAGACTGTGAAAAACTTGATGGGAAAAATGGCTGCCTTCCTTCTTGGTATCAAGTGACCATTGTCTGTTACCTGCCAAGCTCATGCATCTGAATGCAATCATAAGAACAATGAACAATAAATAACATTAGCAGTATATAGTTAGAATAGAGTAGGCTTTGATTTAGTTCAGTTGTACCTGAGAAAAACTTTTTGATATGCTATATATTTTTTGTAAATAAAATCAAAGCTGATAAAAGAAGCTACTACAATCATGAATAACACTGCAGTGTGAACATTTTAGTGCACTGCTATCATAGATGCACAGCATGATAAGGATAATTAATTATAGACATACCTTAAAATGTATATGCATTTCTAAGGGAATTGACTTCATTTAATTATAATAATCATTGCATAGAGTTGCGCAGGGGCCATCATCCCATGCTAATCTTCTCTGTAACATTCCAATTTTAGTATATGTACTACAAAGCATTATTCTATCATGCCTATTTGTAATTGACCAATCAGATTGCAGAATACCAGGTTTCTAAATCTATTAGATACCTCCCGGGAAGTATAGGTTATACACCGAGGTAGAGGTTTCTATGGTATTTATTAACCGTGCGATGCAGTCCGAGGTTAATAAATACCATAGAAACCGATACCGAGGTGCATAACCAACTTCTATCATAACATTTGAAAACAACTACCAGCTGCTGATAATAAGACCACAGTTGACATACATACAACATATCTAACAGGCTAGGCAGTATGGAATCAACCAAGCTTGACAAATGGACCAATAAGAGCATAAGCATAGAGCGCCAGGTTCAAGTTCACTTATTTTATTTAATAAACCAAGAGGTTAATAAGTGTTCCCGGGAGGTTAATAACTGAGTGCTCTACCCGGCATGCTTGTTTTGAATTGACCAATCAGATTGCATTATATGAGGTGTCTAAATCACTTATAATACCCCAGGAAATGGTATTTATTAACCTCGGACTGCGTCGCACGGTTAATAAATACCATAGAAACCTCTACCTCGGTGTATAACCTATACTTCTACCATGCCACCTTGCAATTGACCTATGAGATTGCAGTATTGGAGGTCAATTATTTTTCATATTAACCTAGCTCATAAAAAAATAAACCTATCTCGTTAAATAATTAATTGATTGGCAGTTTGGCACCGCTCTACGCTTATGCTCTAATTAGTCCATTTGTTACGTTTGATTGATTCTTTACTGGCCTAGCCTGCTAGATATGTTGTATGTTTGTCAACTGTGATCTTATTATCAGCAGCTGGTAGTTGTTTTTCAAGTGTCATGGTAGAAGTTGGTTATCATTGTACACCTCGGTATCAGTTTCTATGGCATTTGTTAACCTTTGCTACTGCATCTCTCGGTTAATTAATACCATAGAAATCTCTACCTCAGTGCATAACCTATTATTATTATTATTATTATTATTATTGTTATTATCATCATCATCATCATCATCATGATCATCATCATGCCAACTCATGATCATCATCATCATTATAACTAATCATTAGCATTTTTGAGAGTCCAGGCCGGGGAGGTTACTATAAAAGCCTGGAGAGTTCTTAAATGAAAGAAAACACCTTTAATGGTGCAATCTGATTGTTCAATTACATGTATGTAATGTATATTCTACATGAACTTAGAATTTGCCTTTCATTTAACATCCGGCTTTACATGAGTAGCTCCACCTTACGGCCATGCCTACCCCACGTGGCTACTTTAGATAGCCATAGAATCTACATCCAAACAATGGTGGTCTTTATGATCACTGGAGGCACTGGGTCCTACTGAACCCCACGAGTTATGTCTCACGTGTGGCTTAAACTATATACACTGTCCTGGTCACATTACTTTACCTCTTCCTGTATTTCATCCAATTTTCTTTATGGACTTTTATCAGATCCTTCAGTCATCATGCCTCTCTTGTCATCGATTGGGTGCCACACCCATAAAGTGCACCATTTTTAAAGGTGAGAATGAACACTACTTGATTAAAATAAATTACATGTATTTTGATTCATATACTCAATTTACCAACTTGAATTTTGTACAATTCACAATAATTATTGTACACAATCACTATACTCATGCTCTCCCTAAAAATATGCAGTATTCTTAAAATCATATTTAATAAGCTGGCAAATGCTATTATGGCTTTTGGGGCAACTTTAAAAATTCGTAAAAAGTGTAATTTTGATTGTAATCAGTTCAAAATTATTACATAACATAAGAACATGTATATGCATCAGAAAAAATTATAGAATTCTCTCCTAGTCATTTTTTGACAAAATTTGACTAATGACTGTACACAGTACCAGGGTCTTTGGCCTGATTTTGGGCAACTTTAAAATTTTATATAAAATCCAAATCAGTTCAAACTTTCTACACAACATAAGAACATGTATATGTATCAGAAAAAAGTATTAAATGTGGGATGCTCTCCTTGCTATTTTCAACAAAATACCCACTAGTATAGTTCAGGATTATTTATCAAATTTTGGGGGAACTTAAAAATATATTGACAAGCAGTTTGAAACCCTGACTGTTTAACAAATTTATTTGTTTTAGGTCAAATGAAATTATTAGACCTTGGTCTTGTATCACAAGCACTCGAACTTGGGTCATTCAACTCTAAGATATCAGGATCACCTGAAG